CGTCTATTGTCAAGTACCATGTGTGTGCGTGCGTGATTGCCCGACCAGATAGATGATCAGCTTCCAGAGAACAGCAGCTCTTGTAATATACTGTTTTCAGTGTTAATACATAGTAGGTCATTAATAATTTCTCAAACCGTATATTGTTTGCAACTCTGTGCTGCTGGCACAGAGATAGATGGCAGCTAGTTTTTACAGTGTACTTCTGTAATTGGTAAATATTGAGTGATAAAGGGGAGAGGATTTCCAAATCTTTCATCTTGCTGTTATAAGAGGTCCAGTTCCAAACAATGAACACTCGAGTTTCCTGTCTCTGCCTGCTAGTGTCTTCTGACACCTTCCTGGAAAGTCCAAACAGATGGACAAATCTGGAATGACTTAGTAGTCACTTTGGCTTACTGTTGGATGTCTAGGGATATTCACTTCGGACTTGTTTTGCGTTTATTACTAAGTTTAAGCTTTCCTAACTGAAAGGCTCTGAGTCATGAGGGAATGCAAGGATTGGGGAGGAAAAGTGACAAAGAGTTACTCAGATTTGCATTTTCTTTTTAAAGAGATATTCATTCACGGTATAGCTGACACTGGTAATTTCTGTGAAAGGTTTGTGCCTGGCCAAAAATGTTTGTGAAATAGCGGTGGTTTAAGCTTTAACTATAAAGACTGGTAGGGTGGGTGATTTTAATAAAAGTGTCTTTATTCATACCTTCCATTGTCACTGTCTAATAAAGTATGAATAAAGATAACAGCTTTGTTGAAAAGCATATATATGCACATGTATATGATATGTATATGTTGGATGTGGATGTATATATGTGTATATGTGTGTGTGTGTGTGTGTATACATGCATATATGTCTCCCTACAGTTAACTTTGTTTATATGAAGATATTTTATTTCAGCAAATGATTTGACTGAAGACCAGACTATCAGCTTAGCATTTCTAGGAAAAACATCCTTTGGCCTGTGGTGGGACCACAGTGACCTGAAGCATGGAATTCATTGACCAAAGTTATATCATTACTAGGATGCCAGTATTGAGGAGATTAAAGGAATATGGGGTATAGTGGGGTGGGTGGGAGGACCTTATACACACACAGGACAGGGAAGGCTTTAGTTAAATCAATGAGAATTTTTTTTTTACTACAAATATGATACATTACATAGAAGTAAGAGTAAGTGTTTTTATAAGCAACATTTAAGTTTTATTTATAAACATATAGTATATAAAAGAGTGATTTGAGAAAAATATAAGAATTGTATTCGTGTAAAGAAGTAGTTTCAGATAAGAAACCTCTTAAGAAAACCTGCATTATAAAGTGGAGATTGGGATACCTATTGTTGGGAAAATGGAGGAAACCGGTAGAAGGAAGATTTAGGAAAAGAGTGGATAATAAGACTGTTATTTCTGACTTGGACTTGTTTTGGCTCTCTGAGGTCATGCTGACTCTTAGATTTAGAAATGAAGCCTCTTTCAAAGTATAAACCTAGTTGAAAATTATAATTTTAAAATTTGCTTTCTTGGGTGCTCCATTTTGTTTTCTTCAAGCATAAAAGCATGAGTATTCTATTTTCAGGAGGATGAGGGAAAAAATGTATTGCTCTTTCTAGCAGTTTGGCTATCTTTGTTGTTGTTTCCAGCCCCATAAATGAAGAGGCATCTGCACCATGCATTGTATCATGCCCAGCAATTTTTTTTTCATTTGAATCTAATTGTTCCTTAGCAAATAATTGCAGTCCAGAATGACTTTTATTGAGCTTGATTGAATTAGGGTTATGTATGAAAATGAGTTAGTTAAAGCTTAATCTATTACCCAGAGAAATGATGGAAACATCAGAAAAGCAGTCATTCGTGGGAATTAAATATTCTTCCATATAAGTGGGCAACATGGTTGCCTTGGAGTCCCTTCTGCACTGACTAGGTAGTTGTAACATCAGGGTGCAAAACACACAGTGTTGGCATAGAAGAGGATTTTGCCAGTGTGTGCCTCTGAATGTTATACAGGACATTAACGCTAATTGGGAGTCTGCCTCATTGTAAGAAGTGGCGTCTCACCTTTTTTAGTATAATAAGCTTTTCAAAACATAGCACCCTGAGGGGCAGTATGTAAACTGTGGCAGAAAGCCAGTTGCTTTGGGATATTTCATTGGTTGCTTAGGCCAGATATTTAAGATAGGTTTTTTTTTTTTTAGGTGCCAAGTCATATGCCCTATTTGTGGTAAGAAGCAAATAATAGATATTTAGTAGGTAGCTGTTCCACCTGCCATGATGAAGTTTCTCAGAGGGAGTCCTGAGCTATGCCAGATCAGTCCTGGCTAGGTGGGCATCCTGTGCGAGGCAGCGTTACGGGTGGGAAATAGAGGCCTTATAAAGGGAAAGGGAACAGGTTCCTAATGAGGCAGTGGGAGCTAGATCATGGGGAGTCAGGAGCCAAAGTCCTGTGTGTGAGAGAGGGAGGGTTGAGAGGAAGCTAAAGTGGGACTCAGAGAACACAGGCAGGCCCATGGGGCGGTTCCGATGAAAATCTGCCCCGGCTTTGGTCTAGGGCACATTCAGATCACCATTTTGCAGGGTTGTGTTCACACTTAAGGCATTTCCCTCCGCTTGCCCACCGGTCCTCAGACACCTCACATCGCCATCCATTTCCATCAAATCCGAACACCTTGTGAAGTACGGGTAATTTAAATGCAGAACAGCTTATGCTGAAACTGCCTTTCTGAAGCTACTCATGTAGGCATTTGTAACAGCCAGATAAAATCTGGAGTCTCTAAGTTTGGCTATCAAAGAGAGTCTGTCTCAGGCAGGGTCTTCAGCCTTGAAATTGATTCTGCTCCGTGGCTGATTCCCTGGCT